CACTCCAGGGGTTTACTCTTGCTGCCTTATGCCAATGTCCCCTTCTCCCCACTGCCCAGCCTCCAGCCCTGCGTCTCTCCTTCCGTCCACAGAGATTACGACGCCATATGGAGTTTTATAGTCGTTCTCAGATTTCCTCTCCATGTTCATTTCTGCCACCGTCCTGGATGACTCCCCCTGTGTGGACAGCCCATGCTGTACCGGAACCTATCACTTCTTTGACTTTCTCTGCACCACGGTGATCCTCACCTTTGTTTCTCTTCCACTCTGTAATCTGCTCCCCGGATACGGTGTGGACCTTGGCAATTGCATGAAGCTACTACCCACCTCTGAAATCTTGAAGACCAATAACGAATTCCGACAGCACTCTCAGCTCTCCCTCCCACACACCCATCAAACCTGCTCTTGGGGCTGACCAGCCCCTCCCTCCGCCCATTTCTCATTTCTCAGCTCCCTTCTAGCTCCTTCTCCCACATTCTATACCTATATGCTGTCCAATACAGTCACCACTAGCCACATCGGGTTATTTAAATTTAAATAAAATTTAAAAATTCAGTTCCTTGGTCATACTAACCATATTTCAAGTGCACAATGGGCTCATGTGGCTAATGGCAGAACAGCAGAAAGTTCTATGGATGGTATCACTCTAGTTCTCTCAGTTGTCCCTTGAACTAATTTTTCACGCACTAGCATCCTGTTGAGTAAATGAATATCCCTCAGGATTTTTGTGTCCTTGTCTTTCCCCTGCATCTTGACCAACAGATGCACTGCTGTGAATCAGTCCTACCATCTTCCCTGTTTTTGCTTCTACGCCTGACTGATGTGCACAGCTGGAAAACTGATTCAGCGTGGTATACTGGTATCACTTCACGCTCCTCATCTATAAAATGGGGATAATAATAGTGCTCATAAGATTATTGGAAGGACTGAATGAGATAAGGCCAAAAGGTGTTTAACGTATCTGGCAAATAGCAGATCAATATATTTTAGCTTTATTATTATTATTATTTTTAATTCCAAACCTCAGCTGGACTCTCATGTTGTCAACTGCCTCCCTATCTTTCTCAATAAGTGCTTTCCCACCCCTTCCTACTCCTAAAGAGACGTTTTATTTAATTTATTTTTTAAATTTAAATTCGATTAGCCAACATATATGTTGGTTTCAGACGGAGAGTTCAGTAATTCATCAGTTGTGTATAATACCCAGTGTTCATCACATCACATGCCCTCCTTAATGCCCATCACTCAGTTACCCCATCCCCCACCCACCTCCCCTCCAGCAACCCTCAGTTTGTTTCCTAGTCTCATGGTTTGTCTCCCTCTCTGATTTCTTTCCATTCTGTTTTCCCTCCCTTCCCCTACGGTCCTCCGCACTATTTCTCATATTCCACATATGAATGAAACCATATGATAATTGTCTTTCTCTGCTTGACTTATTTCACTTAGCACAATACCCTCCAGTTCCACCCATGTTGATGAAAATGATGGGTATTCGTCCTTTCTGGTGGCTGAGTAATATTCCCTTGTATATATAAACCACATCTCTAAAGAGACATTTGAGAAGCTTCTCCCTTTCCGTGATGAAAGCCTTTTATTACAGTCGTTTTCTATGTCAGCAGGAGAGACTTTTCTTTGCAGTTAGTAATTCTTTGTAGAATAAGGCAGATCTGCTTTAAGGTGGTGATTTTTAGTCTCTAAAACTCGTGGTAATACCCTCTTTTAACACAAGGAAAAACAAGATAAAATTTCTGGAAGTGTCTCTCAGTAGGGTGCAAGATCAGTTTCTTGTGGCTCCTGCAACACATCACTACAAATTTGGTGGCTTGAAACAACAGAAATTTATTCTCTCTTCATTCTAGAAGGTAGGTAGGGCCATGCTCCTTCCAACGGCCCTGCTCTGGTGACTCCAGGTTGGTGCTCTTTGGCTGAGGCAGCATCACTCCGGTCTCTGCCTCCATGTTCTTGTGGCTTCTTCTCTGGGTGTGTCTCTGCGTCTTCTCCCCTTCTGTCTCTTGTAAGGACACCCAGCACTGGATTCGGGGCCCCTTGTCTTCTTTGCACTGATATTTTTATTTGTGGAGACTGAGTGATCACATAGTTTGGTCAATGCCATTGAAAGAAGAATTTATTGCTCACATCTCCCAGAGGAGGGGGACACCATGCCACTCAGGCCACATGGGGAGCACCAGGTTTGGTTAGGAGGCAAAAGCAGGAGGGAAAAGCAGGAGAGGAAATCCTAGGTCCAGCCTTTAGTGGAGTTTCTCTGGGAAAGCCAAGGCAGGCATAGTAAATGTTTTAGGATTGGCTCATTTGAATGATTCGGGCAGGCTGTGGGCTATAGGATGGTCCCTAGATGCCTGGCACCTGGCCTGGGATGATTTAGGGCAGGAGAAATATTGGCTTGGTGTGTGGGATGGATAAGGAGGTGGTTGGGGCTGGGGACTCAGGATGGCTTTGCATATAAAGGTGTATATAATCCTGGGCAGGTTGTTATCATCTTTAGCAATTAGCTTGCCCTGGGGGTTGGGGTCTCTCCCCTTCTCTGTGAGGCCCCCAAATGTCAGAGCTTCGAGAATAGAGCAGATAAGAAAATACACTTAATGTATTTGGCCCTATGATGAACAGATGCCAAATACACAAATACACCTGGCTAATCCAAGATGATCTCGTGTCAAGATCCTTAACTTAGTTACATTGCAAAGACCCCTTTTTCTATATAAGGCCACGTTCACGGGTTCTGGATGGATGTATCTTTTCAGCGTGTGAATGTTAGGGGGGCGCTCTTACACCTCTGACCAGTGCCCTACTAAACAGTTGCCTCTCAGATACCCTCTGCCATTACCCTGGGTCACCTCCTTGTCATTTCTTGACCGAACTATCATAAAACTCGCCTTCTTGCCCCACCTGCTTTCCTCCAGTCCCTCCCACGGGCAGCCCCAAAATGATCTTTTTATTTTATTTTTTTTTAAAGATTTTATTTATTTATTTGACAGAGAGAGACACAGCGAGAGAGGGAACACAAGCAGGGGGAGTGGGAGAGGGAGAAGCAGGCTTTCCGCGGAGCAGGGAGCCCGATGCGGGGCTCGATCCCAGGACCCTGGGATCATGACCTGAGCTGAAGGCAGTCGCTTAACCAACTGAGCCACCTAGGCGCCCCAAAATGATCTTTTTAAAATGTAAACCCCATCCTGTCACCCCCCGCTTCAAAAGCCTGCTTCTAAAAAGTGGGACTGCCTCAGCACTAGCTTTCTGAGTGTTGCAGAAAACACATTATAAAGGAGACACTTAAAGCTTGGAAAAGCTTTCAAACCACAGAAAATTGGCTCCAATTTGTAGATTAGAGCAATTTAAACGCATTCATCTGAGTGAGGGCTGTGCCTAACCTCCCACTCTGACGCCTGAATTAATGAATTAATACGTGCTCCATGTTTTCTCCAGCTGCTTTATCTAATTGGATGCAAATTAAACATGTATACTTAGTAAAGTGAATTTGGAAACTCCATAATCCCTCAGAGAAAACAAATTTCCAAATGTTCAGTATGGCCAACCCGTTCCCTTAGACTCTAGCATGAGATAATTTTCTTAAGTTTTCCACAATTCATCGTAAATTTTTTTTTTTTAAGATTTTTTTATTTATTTGACAGAGAGAGACACAGCGAGAGAGGGAACACAAGCAGCGGGAGTGGGAGAGGGAGAAGCAGACTCCCTGCGGAGCAGGGAGCCCGATGTGGGGCTCGATCCCAGGACCCTGGGATCATGACCTGAGCCGAAGGCAGACGCTTAACGACTGAGCCACCCAGGCGCCCCCACTTCATCGTAAATTGAGAACACAGAACTCCCCTATACGTGAGCTAGCACAGGATGAAGAAACGGATTGCCCAGGCCCAAACCTAACTCACTTGAGACCATGCGAACCTGCCTTACTTCAGCAAATGCGAAAAGTCAAGTTAAAATGAGCAATGTTTTTTTAAGATGACTATATCTCAGTGCTCCTTATAAATGTTAATCCTCAAGGATGCATGGGGAGTCACCTGCTGGGCCACTTATATTTCCAAAATCACTCCACAGACCAAACTCCCAATGATTCATGAGACTTCCCTAATGGACAGCAAATCATATTTTAAAAAATATAATCGTATCTCCAAAGCCCAGACAATAAAGATCTCAGACATGAATCAGAAACTCTCACTGGCCCTGTTGAAGGTAGCCCGGCCAGACACCCTGGCAGGTGCCACTCTGGGGGACAGGCTTGGGCTCTTCACAGTGTGTCAGTATAACTCAGTTTTGTTCTGATTTATGGAGCCTCTTGAGATAGAAAGTGATAGAAATTTAACTCAAATGGGTGTCATTTAACAGAGTGCTTCTATTGGCTCGGTCACTAAAAAGGGTAAGGAATGGTTTTGTCCGTTGAATCCAGTGGCTGAAACACATGTCTTCCAGATGCATCCCTCTCTCCTTCTTCCGCTCTCTTTTCTGTTGTTTCCTTCTGCAGATGCCAATCTCCAGGAGGTACCTGGCAGCTCCAGGCTCACTTCCTACCAACTCAGCAATGTCAGTGGAAAAACTTTGTTCCTCTGCAAACTCCCTCCCCCAAAGTCCTAGGAACCTAATTTTGGTCACATTCCCAATCCTAGTGACTGGCACACCCGGGTCACTAGCTCATATCTGGAGCTGGTGATGAGCTTTGCTCCATCAGAATCACCCAAGATTTTTCCAAAGGAAGAGGAAATGTTTTGTTTTGTTTTGTTTCTTCTTTCTTTCTAGAAATAGGTGATTGAATACTGGGCAGGCAAATGAAAATCTGTCCTCCACGTACCAGGAAGTGAGTTGGCAGTCCGTAGAAGAAAGCAATGGGAGCGCAGCTCCACCTTGGTATCTTTACCCCCTCGCAGCACCCAGAGAAAGAACTCGTTCATATGTACCAAGATAGGTACACGTTGCCCTTTTTATGAAAAGACACAGCTTCTGAACTTTATCACTCTTCGTGTGCTGATCCATAGGAGGTTCTAGAGAGACCAGGTGATGATGTCCAGGATATTTGTGATGAGTATGTACCCTCAAGCTTCGGGGACTGGCTGGCTTCTCATGCACAACAGCGCGAGTCTGATCATCAGTGTGCTGGGAAGGTCAGTTGCTTCTGCAGACCAGTGAACTCCTCTTCCTGCCTCTTAACCGACTGAGCCACCCAGGTGCTCCTCTTCCTGCTTCTTCTGTAGGCTTGGCCTTGATTGGAATCCCCCCTCCTGACAGTCCAGTCCATGCCAGGTTGGCAAAGTAAACTGCCATTTCTAGATTTGCTCTCTCAGCCCTAGAAAAGAGAAGTCACTGAACACCGACTTATTGAGTACAATTTGTCCATGTTTTAAAAGCTTAGAAATGTGTTCTTTGGACCACACACTTGGCCTAAAACACCCTATGTACTACCCCCCCCCCACACCACACCACTCACCCCACACATTACCCACAGTTCACTCTTTTTTTTTTTTTTTTAAGATTTTATTTATTTGCGAGAGAGAGAAAGCCTATGAGAGGGAGGAGGGTCAGAGGGGAAGCAGACTCCCTGCCGAGCAGGGAGCCCAATGCGGGACTCGATCCCGGGACTCCAGGATCATGACCTGAGCCGAAGGCAGTCGCTTAACCGACTGAGCCACCCAGGCGCCCACCCACAGTTCACTCTTTACAAAGATCTGTTCTTTAGGGCTGAGTCATTAACACAATCCCGTCTTCATCTTCATAGGCTCATTGGAGAAATCTAAGATGGAATATTTGAATTGAAAAGTACCTCCAGGAGATCCATCTTCTTTCCCATTAGTTGATTGACTGCTTTCCTACAATTTCTTGAAGATGGTCAATCAGCTCTGTTTCAGCCCTTCTCCAGAGGTAAGTCACCATGTAGAGATTCCCCAGCCCCCTTCATTGTGCATGCTTTGTGTCATGAGAAAGTTCTCTCCCATATTGATCTAAAGTTGCTCTCTCCCTAATACCGGGCTCTTCTTAAAACAACAAAGCCAGTTGTGAGGACCTCTTTGTTTCTCTTCTTAGTAATAGATCAGAGTTTGCACTTCAAACGATTTCTTGGGCATCTCTTTACGAGTTTAAGGTTCATCATCTTTATTTCAGATCGGTAACAAAGTGTATTTCTGGAATGTGTATATGGTTTCCGTATAAACAGTCCCCAAACTCATGTATCAACCTGACAAAGTCTAGACTCAAGAGTTTGTTTCAAAAAGAAAAACAAGCCAGCTATGATAGAAAGAATCGCAAGCCTATAAATTGTGCTGAGGTGTGTTTATATAACTACATAAGAGTTTAAATAAAGCAATCTAAGAGTAAACTAAACTACCAGTCAGAGCTGTAAAAGCAACCTCCACAGGGTCCGTTGAAAGGACAGGTTACAGTTGCCTTGATCTTGCACAAAAGGGAATACAGATTTCCAAGCAGATGGCCAGCACGTCAGGATGCTACTCCCAGGGGGTAAGTTTCATCATCACCATTCTCATCTTGAGAAACTCAAGTTCAAAGAGATGAGCCACTGCCTCAAGTCAGACCAAGCCCTCATTTCAGGGCCAGGAATACCCGTGACCACTCTGACCTAATGCAGGTGACAATTTACAGCTGATTCATGTGACCCTATTGACTCAGGCCAGTACCCTAAAGCTATTTCCCATCTCATGAGACAGTAACCTTGAGTGGGAGTGCGTAAATTGGCTGTGAGTTTTCATCATATTTCTTAGAGAGGTCTGCGACATGCCCCTGTCCCCTACCCTACCCCATGAATACCTAGAACTCCTAAATCACAGTTCAACCATCACTCACGTTTTCTAGAGAACCAGGGATGTAATTTGTTCAATGATTTTGGCTTATGCTAAGGGTTAAGCAAAGTCAGAAAAGGACAGATAGACCAAAGTAATATATTCAAGTAATATATTAAAAACAAGTCCAAGAGGCTATAGGAGGAAGTCTGTGGGGTTTATAAACTAACAGCAATGCTTTGTAAGATTTCATAGCCACATGTTAAGTAAATGTAATTTTAAGGCAACTTGTTCTATGCGTATGATTACAGATACAAACTTACATATCAAATATATATCTTTAAGACCTGTAATCTATTAATATTGGATACTGGAACTATTTAGGGTTCTCGTGGAATTTATAATTAGGAACATAATGGACAGATGGTATAGATTGGTGGCTCAGAGACATAGATAAATATAATTGTCCAGACTCCTGACATATTTCACCTGCAACACCTTAATTAGCTCCCAATTGGCCCCCCTGTCTGTTGCCTCTCTTTTCTGTAATCCATCCTCTCCAGAGCCATGAGGATGACCCTTGCTGAAAATACGTTTATGGCTCCTTGGCATCCCTCAAATAAAGACCACACTTTTGGGCGCCTGGGTGGCTCAGTCGTTAAGCGTCTGCCTTCGGCTCAGGTCTTGATCCCAGGGTCCTGGGATCGAGTCCCACATCGGGCTCCCTGCTCAGCAGGAAGCCTGCTTCTCGCTCTCCCATTCCCCCTGCTTGTGTTCCTGCTCTCGCTATCTCTCTCTCTGTCAAATAAATAAATAAAATCTTTAAAAAAAAAAAAAAAGACCACACTTTTAATATGTCATTTAATAATCTGAAATCTGGCCCCAACACGCCTCTCTAATCCTATGTCCCATCATGTCACCAGACACCAAATATTCCTGCTTTATTTGTTTGGATTCACCTAAGACTCTCTCCTTCATGAAGTCTTTGTACCATGGAGAACATGTCTACAGCAATCAGCTTGAAAGCAGAATTCTATAAGGGCAGGGAAGTGGATAGATGGTGGGAATAAAGCCATGTGACTTCCAGGCTAGCTTATAACACAGACACAGCATCTGTCTGGCTCTCTCTCTTGGATCCCAGCGACCATATTGGGAAGAAGCCCAGGCCACATGGAGAGGCCATGTGTGGGGGTTTCAACCAACAGTCCCAGTCAGGCCCTCAGCTGATAACCAGCATCAAGTGTCACAATGTGAACCCTCAGGTGATTTCAGCTCGCACCCTGCAAGCCTTCCAGCTGAGGCCCAGTCCTGATGGAGCAGAGATAAAACCGTGCGCCCTCTGTGACCCACATTTCTGACCCACAGGAGCCAGGAGAGATAATAAACGATAACCCTTACTTTAAGTCGCTAAGGTTTGGGGTAATTTGTTATGCGGCCACAACTAACTAATACAGTGCTGCTCACTTGGTTTATACCCACACCAGGCAACAGATTTTGGTTGCAGAAGTCTATATACAAAGGTATCACCCAAGGCCCTTTTAATGATGACCTTGATAGGAAAAACAAAGAGAATATTTGAATTCTGACTAAGAAATGAGGGATGTGTGTGTGTGCATGCGTGTGTATATATATATATGTAGTATCTTTTTTTTTTCTTAAGGATTTTATTTCTTTATTTGACAGAGAGAGAGAGCACAAGCAGGGGGAGTGGCAGGCAGAGGGAGTGGGAGAAGCAGGCTCCCCACTAAGCAAGGACCCCGACTGGGGGCTCGATCCCAGGACCCTGGGATCATGACCTGAACTGAAGGCAGCCATTTAACCGACTGAGCCACGCTTAAGCCCTGTATGTGGTATCTTAAGCGTGAATAAATCCAACGGGATAGAAACGTTAGTCACTGGAGTCCTGGCTGCAGTGAAGTTCCTCTCCACTGAGCCCTGGTGAGCATAGCCACTGAAGTATTGAGGAGAAAGGTGCACTGGGGTTTCGATTTCTGTTATTTGCCCCTGCGTTATTCTTCTGTTGTGTCCTATGGGATTCTTTTTCCAGGCTATTGGCTGTAGCATTGGTTGCTTCTTGTTTAAGGATCTTCGTACTGTTTTCAGATCTCTCTCCATGTCTGCAAGGATGTTTGCTCAACTTGCCTTCAAATTCCAAGCTTCGTCTGTTGACTTGAATGATGATTTGCTCCATTAGAGACCTGACTTACTATTGTTCACGTCTCCATAGTGTCATTGCATGGATGTTCCAATGTTTTTTATTTTTAATTTTTGTTATCTAATTCCTGGGTTAATTTTCCATGATTTTAGTCAACAAATTAAATATTGCCTGGTTTTCTATATCCCATGGCAGCCAAAGCTCAGTTCAGGTCATGGTCCCAGGGTCCTGGGATCGAGCCCCCAGTCGGGGTCCTTGCTTAGTGGGGAGCCTGCTTCTCCCGCTCCCTCTGCCTGCCACTCCCCCTGCTTGTGCTGCCTTTTCTTGCCTTTCTTCCTGCTCCTCTGGCTGAGGGTCACTGGGCAACGCATGGACATGCCCACTGTGCTTCTTGCTAAGAGCTCTAGTTATTGCTGGGGACAAGGTGAGAGAAAAGATCATGGTTAAAATGGAGAAGATGTGAAGGTCAGTGAATCTTCACTGCACAAATGAGAGTTAGCTAATGCCTGCTTCAGAGCTGGGTTGCTCATCAGATCAACTCTTTTTTTTTAAGATTGTATTTATTTATTTGTGAGAGAGAAAGAGAGCGCAGGGGAGAGGGGTAGAGGGAGAGGGAGAAGCAGACTCCTTGCTGATGGGGGGAGCCTGATGCAGGACTCGATCCCAGGGTCCTGGGATCAGGACCTGAGCCACCCAGGTGCCCAGGAGATCAACTCTTGAATGTATTAGTGGTGGGACTAGGAGCAAACATAATCTAAAAATAATGCTTGTTTTCTCATACATAGTTTAATTACACTGAAATAGGAATGTATCTAATTTGGGGGGATTTCAATTAGCTTAGGGTGAAATAATGAGACGTACTGTGAGGACCAGACTTCGCAAGAGCCAGCGTACTGACCGGCTTGTCTGTCCGGCTCCCTGCCCACGCCCTGCAGCCTGCCATCCCCTGATGCCTCCTCACCAAGTGGAAGAAAAAAGCATTGAAGAAACGGCTCCTGGCTGGACATAGGTCTTATTTTCCAGGCTAATAGTTTTTCCAGGGAGAAAGCTCCTTGGTGGCTTGGCTTGGACGTTCTTCCTGCTGTGGGACTAAGCAGCAGCCTGGACTCGGGGTCCCGCACAACTACGACCCAATCCCGCTCCTCCCGCTTGCTCACTTGTTCATGGACAACTCACCAAACCTTCTAAGCCTCAGTTTGCTGAGGATAATCAGACAGCCTCAGGGGAGCCAGTGAGGCTTGAATGAGGTCATGCTGGTAAAATGTGTAGCCAAGAGCCTGGTACGTGGCACGCTCTCAATAAATGGTGGTTGTTCTTGATTCTCGACGGTCAGAGCTGTCAGAGACCGTAACAGACAATTCTTTCCAAACTGCTCATTTTATAACTGAGGCCACTAAAGATCAGACAAGTGAGATGACTTGTTCAAGGTCACATAATTAGAGTAGAATTTGGTAATCTGAACTGGTGCTTACCTAAACCCCAGAGATAAAATGGGTAAGAATGAGGAGACAAGGGGCACCAGGGTGGCTCAGTCGGTTAAGCGACTGCCTTCAGCTCAGGTCCTGATCCCGGGGTCCTGGGATCAAGTTCCACATCAGGCTCCTTGCTCGGTGGGGAGCCTGCTTCTCCCTCTGCCTGCCACTCCCCCTGCTTGTGCTTTCTCTCTGTCAAATAAATAAAATCTTAAAAAAAGCAAAAACAAAAATGAGGAGACAAAATTTGTATAAAATGGGTGAAAAGTTTTATAGGTGCCCGATAATGAATGTACTTGAAGAAACTGTTCTCATGTGGCAAAATATACGCAACATGAAATTCACCTCTCTAGCCACCGTTAAGCACACGGCTCAGTGAGCATTCACACTGGTGGGCAACCATCACCACCATCCACCTCCAGAGCATCTTCCGTCTGCCCAGACTGAACCTCGTCCCCATTAACCAATGATTAGTGTACTTTCTTTTTTTTTTTTTTTTAAAGTAGGCGTCACGCTGGGCATGGAGCCCAACCCAGCCCAGCCCAGGTTGTAGACAACCCTGAGATCAAGACCTGAGCTGAGATCAAGAGTTGGAGGCCTAACCAACTGAGCCATCCAGGTGCCAGATAAGTGTACTTTTGGATCAGAAAAAAACAACAACAACAAAAAAGATTTTGAATTGGGAAAGTAAATTTCCAGGGTATCCTCACTTATAGTTACGACGTAAAATCTCGAGCTCTCCCCCTTATCTTCAGCTATGAATAGAGCATCGCATTATTTTCCGTAGCTTTTCCTCAGGAACACTGTTCGTTTTGGGTGTGCGGGTGCTGTCTGTTACTTGCTCTCCATCCCTGGGTGTGAGGGCCAGGTGGAGAGGAGCCCCCCGACTCTCCAGGACTTGGTTTTACAGTGTGGACTTGGGCTTCCGGCCACTGCCTCCCATCTGTCCAGGATCCTTCAGTCCCTGTGGTCCCTCGTAGAGTTCTGGTGTTGCTACCACTGTAGTGAAGGGAAGCAAGACATGAGCTCTTTCCTACGGGAGAGGGCTGATCCTATGTTATAGGCACAGACGAAGAACAGCCGGGAACCTGGCCTGTTGATGAGAGAGATCCTGTTACCCTGCCCAAGCACTCTCTTCTCTCCAGGCCCGGCACCTGATGTCAAAGCCGGACGTGAATCCAGATTGAGCCAGCGGCCACGTCGAACACCGCTCTGGGAGTCTGGGGTCTGGAGTGGCATGGTTGTGGAGGGCCTGGGGAGTCGTTAAAGGGTCTCAGCGGGTTGATGCACCCCAGGAGCAGAGCCGACGATGTGCCAGTGACCAGGGCCACCAGAACTACGCTGACAGGACACGCCAGGTCCACTGCCCATGGCTGTGACTCACACCTGCCGGGGACCAGGGGCTCCCTCCGTGTCAGGCCGAGGGACCCCGAGAATGTCTCAGCCGGCGCTCGTCCTGCTTCCCCAAGGAGCCACCCGCAGACTCAGCCTGGCCATTGGGGGAATGTTCAGGCGAGCTTCATGCCCCTTCTCGACTCCCAGGACTGAGTGCCGTCATCAGCCGGGGAGCCCTTCTCCACTGCTCCTCTCGGGAGCTGTGAGTACATCTTCATCCTTTCCCCTTTACATTGCAATGACTCATTAAGAACTACTGAATTCTGTCGTGATAACAGGAAGAAGAATAATAGCTTAATTGTGAGCACTTGCATGTGCCTGCACTGTATAAGCACATGGCACAACACACTTTCTCTCCACCACAGCTCTGTAAAATAGTTGTCATTATTGCACGATGTGGAAACCGAGGATGTCTAGGGTGAGCGCCTTGCCCGCTTGCACCGGCAAGAAGCAGAGAGCTGGGTACAAGGCCAGGCGGCTGTGGCTCGGTGGCTCGCTCTGGACCCATCTGCCAGCCAAGGGCACTTCCAGGCCGTCCGCAGTTAGACGCCGGTCATGCCGGCTGAGTTCTAAGGACATTCAGAATTGGAGTTGTGTGTTGGAGAAAATGTAATTACGAAGACTTTAAATACAAGCCAGTAAGAATTATAATTGCTCTAGGAGCCAGAAACTGTCATACTAATAAAAAGCCTGATTTTTTTCAAAATGTTTTGTGCTAAAATACATACAATTCGATGGTATTAATTACATTCACAACATTGTGTAAGCATCACCACTACCTAATTCCAAACTTTTTCATCACCCAGTCCCGGCCTGTTAACCTTCAATTCACTTTTTGTCTCTAGGAATTTGCCTATTCTGGATAGTTTCACAGAAGTGAGGTCAGACAATATTCGTCCTATTATGTCTGGCTTCTTTCCCTCAGCATGATGTTTCCACAGTCCATCCACGCCATAGCACACGTCCCAGCTACATGCATTGTGTGGATAGACCACGTTTTGTTTATCCAGTCACCAGCTGATGGACGCTTGGGTTGTTTCCACCTTTAGGCTGTTATGAACAATGCTGCCATGAACATGGGTTACCAAGATTCTGTTTGAGTCCCTGTTTTCGATTCTTTGGGCATATACCTAGGAGTGGAATAGCTGGGTTATAGGGTTTTTTTTTTTTTAAAGATTTTATTTATTTATTTATTTGAGAGAGAGAGAGAGAGAGAGAGAGAAACAGCATGAGAAGGGAGAGGGTCTGAGGGAGAAGCAGGCTCCCCGCTGAGCCGGGAGCCCGATGTGGGACTCGATCCCAGGACTCCGGGACCATGACCTGAACCAAAGGCAGTCGCTTAACCAACTGAGCCACCCAGGCGCCTGATTGTAGGGTAATTCTATTTGTAACTTTTTGAGGAATTCTTTTTCGTTATGTAAATAAGCAGGCTTAAAAAAGGGGATAAACTGCAATTGCATGGAGTCAATTTCATTGCTACGGTAACAACCCAACCAAACAATCCCATCTGTGCTTTAGAATGACGATGATATTCTTCATGATGTATTTTTAAAAAAACTTTTAACTATTATTATTTTTTAAGTAAGCTCCACACCCCACTTGGGGCTTGAACTCACGACCCTGAGATCAAGAATCCCATGGTCTACCAACTGAGCCAGCCAAGCACCCCCTTGACCATGTATTTTTAATTTGATAAGGCAGAGATAAAAACAGTTGGATTGTTGTGAAAACTGTATTAAAAGTTCAGCTGTATTAGAGTGAATCTGTGGTTTCATCCTAAGAATCTGAATCTCTCCATTCTTTTTTTTTTTTTTTAAAGATTTTACTTATTTATTTGACAGAGACACAGTGAGAGAGGGAACACAAGCAGGGGGAGTAGGAGAGGGAGAAGCAGACTCCCCACTGAGCAGGAGCCCGATGCGGGGCTCGATCCCAGGACCCTGGGATCATGACCTGAGCCGAAGGCAGACGCTAAACGACTGAGCCACCCAGGAAACCCTGGATCTCTCCATTCTTGAGGTGACATTTGAGACGGTGGGGAGAATTGGCCCTGTTTGCCATCAGCAGTTCTATACAAAGACCCCGGGGCCCCAGGCAGGGGGGCTGTAAGCTTGGGAGACCGGGGGCCTGAAGGAAAGGGCTCCTCTAAGGCAGTGACTGGGATGGATGGTGGTGGGGACCAGGGGCACTGAGTTCTGCGGGACGTTACTCTTTGGCCACCAGCAGGCTGCCAGTGAATCAGAGACAGGTTCAGAGCGGCAGGTGACCTGGAGTCTGAGAAGGCAGGGATGTCACGAACGCCCTGGGTCCCACCCTGAAAGCGCCTAAGAGCAGTCTTGGAGAAACCAGGAGGGCTGACGGCTCCTCGAATTTCTGTTTCCTCTGAAATATCCCGTCAAAGCTTTGCTCTTGTTCAGGTTTGAGCACTTTTTCTGCGTGTGACGACTCTGTGTGGGTGGGGGGACGGGTCTTTGGGGAGGCAGGCCGGTGCGGGCAGGGGGACGCAGCTCTGACTTTGGAAATGCCCTCCTGGTTATTTTGATGCCTTACTGTCTGCCCTGAATGGCTCTCACAAGGTCATCTTAAAACCGAAACACCCTTAGCAAACAGGTAATAAAGTGACCCCATCCCCATCCATAAAGCACACCAATGACTGTATTTTCTCTCCAGTCCTTTTCCAAGGGTACCTTGAGAGGAGGAGGAAGAGATTGTTCTAGAGTGGCTGCCTCAGGGGAAGGCTTTGTGTCATCAGTTTTCCTCAGAGCCCAGGCCCGTCCCTCACACAGGTCCTTCACTGTGGGCATCGCGTCTAAAAGGTGAGGCCTCTTTGGAGGCAGATGGGGTTTTTTCCTCAGGGGTTAGCTACATGTTGGGGGTTTCTTGTCCACTGAGGCCCTGGAGTGTATTTGCACTCATGGCAACCTCTGGTGGGGTTCCTGAGCAGGCGAGCAATTTCCAGGGCTTTCTGGGTCCCCCCTCCTCCCTCCAGACCCCTTTCCCACCACTCAGACTCTAGCACGTTACCTGATTCTGCCTGTCAGGCTTGCAGTCTCAACCAGGATACAGTATTTAAGCAGATGGAGAACATCTTTAAGGAAAATGTCTAATTCCTCTAGCTTTATAAATTATTTACTTTGCATTACCGTTGACCCCTGGACATGCTTCGGCCCATGTGAGGTGAGTGTATCCATCCTTCATGCCATTTTCCACCAGGGCAAGCCTATACTTTTTCCAATGGCCCCTGACTCAGAAGTTCTTGTCCAGCTTCCTGCTGCCATCTTGGGTGATTGTAACATCATGTTGATAATGAATTGGTTACCTCATTCATTCAATTGAGTAATTACTACTGTTGGCTACTAAACAGTGTTAAAACAAAATACAGTGTGGAAACCAGACTTGAAAATCCCTTGACAAAACCATTTAAGCCCTGGAAGCAAAAGCTAGTTTAGCTTATCCTGCAATGGAGGTGACATTAGCTTGGGTCGCTTTTTTTTAAAGATTTATGTGAGAGGGAGAGAGAGAGAGAGCGAACACTTGAGTGGGGGAAGGGGCAGAGGGAGAGAGAGACAAGCAGACTCCCCGCTGAGCATGAAGCCTGACGTGGAGCTCAATCCTAAGACCCTGAGATCATGACCTGAGCTGAAATCACGAGTTGGACACTCAACTGAGTAAGCCACCTAGCTTCCGCTGAAAAATGTTTCTTAGGTTGAATCAAATACTCCATGAAAGATGATATTTACCTCTCAGATATGGTTATTCAGAGGTGATTCCATAAGACCACAGAATTTTATTTATTTTAATTTGTATTTATTTATTTTTAAAGATTTTATTTGAGAGAGAGCACACGCGTGAGTAGGGGAAGGGGCAGAGGGAGAGGCAGACTCCCTGCTAAGCTGCCTTATCCTGCCTTATGCCTGATCCCAGGACCCAGGGACCACACGACCTGAGCAGAAGGCAGATGCTTAATCAGCTGAGCCCCCCAGGGGCCCCAAGACCACAGATTTTTAAATAACATTATCCTAAAATTATCTAGGTGGAAATATTACCAATGATAACGTTAATTTCCCTGTTTTGATCGCCTAACTTAGGTCCAGAATCAGTGTATGGTCAGGGCCTGCAATTTCTACATGGAGTTGGTGTGGAATTGGTAAGTTTGTACAAACAATGCTTCTTTGCATCCTCTCTGTGGGGGCCTGGTTCACCTGGTAGGAAGAAGGGTTTGCCTCCCAGGACATTTGCCCACTTGGGTCACACTGATATTAAAGTCCTGGTCGGGAGAGCTTGTTGGCCTTGTAAGACAGGGCACGAGCTCCGGGTTCAAGTTACTCTCTTCTTCCACATGTTGGAGACAATCTCTCTGGCAGTTAAATAAATAGACCTCTGCCTTTACTGACAGATTCCCTGTTCCTGCAGTTTGGGTTGCCTTGAGCCTTCTTGTAGACGGTTCCTTCCCCTCCCTGGCAGGGGGGTGGGGAGCAGGGGCTGCTCTACTTTAGTCCCCAGGCTGTTGACTGGCTCGGTCCGAGAGCTACCAGCCGCCATTAGGTGCCTGCATGGATGAGGGACATCTGCTCACATTTCTGCTCCCACTTCCAAAATCTGCTAAGAACTGAACTCTTCATGCTTGATTTTTCCTTAGCAACTCTCAACGTCGCCAGCTAATTTTGGGCTCGAATTCTCAGGTTGCATGCCAACCTCATTAGGTTTGGATGGAGTTGGATGGAGTTTCTTATTGTCGATGACTTTCGTGTATTTAAACGGGAACCCACCGTAGTGGTGAATGGGGCTGTTTTGGGGGGACGCCATCACAGTCTTTTCCTCCTCAAACCTGTGTGTTCTAACCAGCTGCTTTGAACCCTCTACATTTTTTTAAAACGGAGGAATCCCAAACTACTTACGTTAGCATATTCTTGCTCCCAGCTTGCCGCTGGCTGCAGGAGCATTTGCCCCCCTCGCTCACTGGGCATAGGAGCGGGGTGTCTTGGGGTGGAAGGCTGTAGGTGAGATGGTATGTCCATGTGCGTGGTCTCGTGGTTCCAGGAGGCCCTCAAACATCTTCTGCATTGCATACTTTCTTTTTCATGTTGGCCACGGCTCCATCTGTCACTTTGGCCTCGCTGAGCTCAGATCTGTCAGAAACCAGCACCCACCCCAGCTCTGTCTTTCCCTGCCAGCCTAGCTCGTCCCCGCTCCCTCCTTCTCCCGCCAAACACCATCCCTCCTCTTCAGTCACCTCCTGTCTCTGTGGCTGGTTCCAATTTTCAGTCCCAGCTTGCTTGTCACTTCAGAACCAGGGCCTCCCACTTTCCTTGGCTTCCCTTCGCCCTAATTATTCGGCACCTCCGAATGTTTTCTGTTCAGCTGTGGTTTGGGGCCGATGTTTCTGTGTCGGTCGCTTCTGTTTCTACATATTTACAGTTGGTCAATTATCCGTTCTAATGGTGAGCGTGGCAGCATGAATAATTTAAAGTGATTTACGTTTGCCTCTGGAATGCATTTCTGTACTCACACTTTGGGTGTGGGGGCTTGTCTGATACTCTGGGAATTCACATGTCAAACTTGGTAATGAAGCCAAAGTATAGAATGCCTTGGGAGGAATGGGGGAGTTATTCAGCACTTTTTCCTCTAGCCCCTGAAATATTTTCTGGCTCTCAACTCTATGATGAAGTTGGAAAGCATCACTTCTCATATAGTTGGCTTGTTCTGGACCCAGGAGAGCCTTTCCAGTCCCTTCAGGGTGTCTGTTCAGCTATTTGTCTGGTACACACTGTCTCTGTCGAGTGGGGAGGTAATCAAGAGGCTGACTTGGAGGAAAATTATCAGGGCTCATGGAATTATCTGGAGAAGAAAAATTCCTTAATTGCATGACTTTGCCAAATGAACATGCATTAAATATATCTGTTCATCAGTGTGCACAGGAATTTAAGGGGTCTGATTGTTTTGAAAAATTGTCCTTGCAATCCTTACTGTAAGATACATCAGCAACATGATGTGTGATTGAAAATATTAACTGGCTTTAAACGAGCAGGGTCCTTTCACATAAATAGAGGTACCCACACAGGGCTGAGTAAACATTGGACATTCAGGGTGGTGTGCCGGGCAAGAGTTTGCGGCACTAAGCCACCATGAGAAATATTTAAAGTTAGCTGATTTGTTACATAAACACTCCAACCTCAAACTCAGTCCCTCTCCTCTGGGCTCTGCCCTGCCATAACAGAACAAACCTGCCCGTAGTCTCCTACTAATCCTGCGATGAAATATGGTTTGACAAAGTTTCTGCAAGATTTGATTTGCAAAGCATTTCAGGAGACAAAAATACAAACCTAGGGTGCTGAAGAGAAGGGAAGCCCACCACTCAGTGGGATTTTATGAAAATGAACTCAAAGCATGCATGTACATATGCACGCAGGGCACATGGGTGAAAAGCCATTGCTCCAGGGCCAGCCCAAGTGGCTTGCAGGTACCCCCACCAGCCCAGCCCGTCCCTCCAGGATCCTTCCAGCGGCTTCTGGGATCCTTTCACCAGCTCCCCTCCCTCAGCCCGACTGTCCTCCTCAACATACGGAGCTTAGTGTGAGCCTTGCCTGGGAAGGCACTCAACTCATCCTGGACTATTAGACAAGATTCTGGGGTGGGAGATCTGAATTTCACTGACCCCATACACTTCTTCATTGTCCATTGAGCCTGCCTAAGGGTCTGTGGTTGCCAAGATGGCGTAAGGATTACACTTGAGAGCCTTTGGAGTCTAGAGAGTGCAGAGCTGATAAGGCAGGGTGAAAATGTGTGAAAAAGCATTTAATTCTTTGGGTCTGAAGAGGTATCAGGAAGTGAGAAGGTACGGTGGTGATGCCTAACATACAGGCGGGGCCTCGAAGGCTACAAATGTGTACTCATTCTTCCAACGAGTCTTTCTTTAGCCCCGTCTACCTGTTATACACTGCATTAGGCACAATGGTTATACAAAAGTGGATTTGGGGTTAATTTTTAAACTTTAGTATGCAGGAGAAAAATTTAGTGAACTTGTCAAAATACAGATTCCCAGGATTCCAGAGAATCCAATTTATTAGGTCTAAATGGAGATGGGGAGCTGCATTTTTAATAAGCATCTCAGGTAATTCTAATGCAGATAGTCCTGGGATCAGTTAAAAAACAAAACAAAACAAAACATATAAAACTAGCCTAAATGCTTGGGAGTCTGTTAATTGCCCAGAGAGGATTTATTTCTATGTTCAACTGGCTCATATGCACTTAGCTTATATTGAATACACCAGTTGTGGCCAGTCAGTGCTGGTCCATGAAAAATTATAGCTGAAATGACACACCCATAGCCTGGGACTCTAGAAAACAATGCTAGGTCAGGAGACCGTACTTTGGACCCGGGAAGAGTGCCTACCCCAGAGCTTACACAGCAGAGAGGAATGTGCATTAGATGACTTGGGATGACTTCCTGCAATGGTAAGGCTGAGATCACAGGAAGAATTTCATTCTGTTTTGTCTCATGCCAAAGGCTCAATGACGTGGTCTGACTTCTTCAAGTATTTTCTCCATTCTTTTTGGTTTGTGACATCCACCTTCTGTCCTAGAACCAACATCTTACTGTGGTCTGTAGGAAGGCCCAGCAGTAATCATTAAGAATGGTTCTTTGGATAGTCTCTTGAATCTACGGTTATTTTATTTTATTTTATTTTATTTTTTTAAAGATTTATTTATTTATTTGAGAGAGCGAGAATGAGAGAGAGTACATGAGAGGGGGGAGGGTCAGAGGGAGAAGCAGGCTCCCTGCCGAGCAGGGAGCCCGATGCGGGACTCGATCCCGGGACTCCAGGATCATGACCTGAGCCGAAGGCAGTCGCTTAACCAACTGAGCCACCCAGGCGCCTGAATCTATGGTTATTTCAATGTATGCTCAGAACATGATGCATCTGTAGTTCATATTGCATGAAAAACTGCCCAATAGGGGGACACTGGCTATTTAGCTCTGTCTCATCTCCAATCACCAATGGTATCCGCCCAGGGTTCTAGACACTGGCTTGCTCTCAGGAAGCTTTAGCAGAAATGTTGCCAGTCTCTTGTTGGATAAGGGCTTGAAGTCAAACCAAACTTAACTGACCAATTCACCAAATCTGAAAACGAAGGCCTCCCTTTAAGAGTGGTTCTAAGTGTGATCTGGGGTCTCAGGGCAATCCTTTGAGGCCATGAAATCTGCCCCATGATTTCTGAAACTTTTTTTTCCCCCTGACACTTTTTTTTTTTTTTTAAAGATTTTATTTATTTATTTGAGACAGAGAGAATGAGAGACAGAGAGCCTGAGAGGGAGGAGGGTCAGAGGGAGAAGCAGACTCCCTGCCGAGCAGGGAGCCCGATGTGGGACTCGATCCCGGGACTCCAGGATCATGACCTGAGCCAAAGGCAGTCGCTTAACCAACTGAGCCACCCAGGCGCCCCTCCCCCTGACACTTTTGACGCTTCTGTATCTCAATATTTTCTCATGACATGAACTGAGACCTTTTGTTTTGAATTCCTCCATCGGTGTACGGTCTGACACCAAGTCTCCTACACCACCTGGCTGGGTTTCCTGCGACTCAATTCAATTCAGTCCTGACACCCACTACATGGAGTTAGTGGGGACCCCACAGATTAAAGGGCAGGGTCCCCAACAAGACTGCCTCTGCCTCACTTCTGACGCCAGTCTCAAGTGGGCTGACATAGGCTCAACGAATGGATGGGTGAATGCGCTCAGAAAATACCTACGATCAACGGCCACCCTCTCCCGTCCACCATTCTGGGGGTTGGGGGTTCAGTGGGGAACACCTCAACACGAGCCCTTCAGTCATGGAACCCATAGGTTGATTTCCTTTCCCTACACTGACACACTCTGCACTTTCCAGAGCTTCTCTCATACCGTCTGAGTTAGGCTTCTTTTATGTTGCCTGCCTGTGCTTCTCCCAGAACAAGAATCTTAAGATTCAGAGCAGGAGCCCTGGATGGAGCAGGGACCCTCAGGAGTGACCTGGGGCACAAATGTAGACATGCCAACACCCCAGAGCCACGCAATGCTACCACAGAAGCAGGATGTAGGCTGCTAGAATTCCACCATAACCTTTTTTGTGCCACGGATCCCATTCCCAGTGTGGTGAAATCTGTACACTGCTCCCTGGAATCAGGTTTTTAAATGCCACGTATGAATTTAAAGCAAGCCAATGTGAGAGTGGAATGTGATTATTAAAATACTGAAAGGTAATCAAATTTGATGATAGCAATATACGTGGCTCTTTCCTTACAGGTGAGGTGACGAGGTGGCTGGTCTAATAGCTGTCCTTTTGAGGCCATGATGCGCATCAGTGCTACTCAGAATCGCTGCAGAAACTGCAATGTCCTATTAAAATGCCAGTGGTTTCATTTGCAACGACGTGGATGGAACTGGAGGGTATTATGCTGAGCGAAATAAGTCAAACAGAGAAAGACATGTATCATCTGACCTCACTGATATGAGGAATTCTTAATCTCAGGAAACAAACTGAGGGTTGCTGGAGTGGGGGTGGGGTGGGAGGGATGGGGTGACTGGGTGATAGACACTGGGGAGGATATGTGCTCTGGTAAGCGCTGTAAATTTTGCAAGATTGTTTCAGATCTGTACCTCTGAAACAAATAATGTAATATATGTTAAGAAAAAAAAAAGAAGAAGGTAGCAGGAGGGGAAGAATGAAGGGGGGGAAATCGGAGGAGGAGATGAACCATGAGAGACGATGGACTCTGAAAACGAACTGAGGGTTCTAGAGGGGAGGGGGGTGGGAGGATGGGTTGGCCTGGTGGTGGGTATTGAGGAGGGCACATTCTGCATGGAGCACTGGGTGTTATGCACAAACAATGAATCATGGAACACTTCATCTAAAACTAATGATGTAATGTATGGGGATTAACATAACAATGAAAAATTTAGAAATTAAAAAAAAAACACCAGTGGTTTCTTTCGGTGGCAGACCCAGGGACTGTTTTACTGCTGTGGTTTGTTGCTGACATACATAATTGAAGGAATTGCTACATTACGGTTAGAGGTTACTAAAAACAAAGATGGGAGTTCCCCCCCCCCATTTAAGTTCATGGACTCCTGAATGCTAGTGTATTCTCCCTTGTTTGAAGTGTAGCTATAGAAGAGCTTTTTGGGGAGGGGCTGGTCAGTCTGTCTATTAGAGTTTAAGGAACCACATGAAGGTCTGTTTACTAACCAACTGGTCTGCCACAGTAGTTAACTTCTTCAATGGATATGTATTATAGGTTTGTAACAAATGCTACAAAAATGCACTTATTATTATTAGTTAACTTGTACCCCCACGTACATACACATTTATACAAAAGCAATGGATGAATATGTGTATGCAGATTTTTCTGGAATAAATAAGGTAAGTTTCGTATATCCTCTTATTTATGGGAATGTGTAAATTATAAACAGACCAACCAACCCACCTGGCTAATGTCAGACCTGAGGATTCTTTTTAAATATCTAGTGTGAAGAATACTCAAATATTGTTTTAACGGGGTCAGCACATTCCAGTTAAAACAAACAAAATAACCCCAGAAATAGAAGAATAAAAAGAATAGTAATGAATGGGTTGGCTAAGGGCCTGACTGCTACTTTCCTGAGTCTGCATTCATCTCTCCCTTGTTATCAGTTAATCCCCATGGTGTGTTTCCCTGGGAGCTCTCAGAGGCTTCTTCTGGTCTGGGTCTTAACCTTTGCCAGGGTGGATGCTACAGGACTGCGAGCAGGGTGGGAGCAAGCCCCCACTCATCGAGGGTGGGGGGGTGGGTCACCGGGGTCCCCCGCCATTTTGGGTCTGTTGGTGCTTTCTCCCATTTCAATTATAGAGGCCGAGAGAGATCAGGATCTACACTTCTTGGGAAGATTTCTCACTTAAAACCACCATGTCGGGGCGCCTGGGTGGCTCAGTTGGTTAAGCGAGTGTCTTCGGCTCAGATCATGATCCTGGAGTCCCGGGATCGAGTCCCACATCGGGCTCCCTGCTCAGCAGGGAGTCTGCTTCTCCCTCTGACCCTCCTCTCTCTCATGCTCTCTGTCTCTCATTCTCTCTCTCTCAAATAAATAAAATCTTAAAAAAAAAAAAAAAACAACCCACCATGTCAAAGGTTGTATGATTTCTTTCCCTTAGGCCTTGGCCTCCGAAGAGATGGTAGATAACCAGCTCTTCCCTAAAATAACACCTTCTCCAGTCTAAGAAGGCCTCAAGTCATTGAGTTGATAAGCCCGTTGATGAACCTGCTAGAGACCTTCCTTATCACTTGGCAGGAGTGTATTGTAGCAGGTTAGTGAATGGGAGAAAACAAATCCATCAGAGCTTGCCTTAGGACAGCTAGGGGAGGTAAATGAGGCCACACAAGCGGAAAACAGTTTGGGATGCCCAGCAACACCTGGGCTACAGGCCGTTCATCGTGAGCGTTTGAAAAGCTCTCCCACATCTGTGTTCAGGATGCTTTTATTTATTTGTTTGTTTGTTTATTTATTGGCCAACTGCCTGGTGAAAGGAGGTAAGGGAAGAAGTCTCTGGTCTAAAGCCCGTGAAATATAGATTTCTAAAAATGTTTTGTAAAAACACTTTAAAAAACAGAAAATGAAACTGAATAGCAGAGGAAAATTATGAAAAGTCAAATAACAGAAGGCGACTGCTTAAAAATGAATTTCTGAGCAAGACTGCTTCCTGAGGGCATCCCATGGAGAACAAGTTTACTGTGGACCCTTAAGACCTTCAAAGTGTTAGACGAGTTGGTTGTATGTTTGCAGAGGTGTACTTCCTGATAAAGGACGGGGACGGGGAGCGCTACACACACCCTTCGGAACGAGCAAAATCGTTCTTGAGACACAGGCTTGGTGTGGGGAGGCTTTCTTATTTTTTAAATTTATTTTTTAATTTTTAAGATTTATTTATTTATTTGAGAGAGAGTGAGCAAGAGAGTATAAGCAGGGGGAGCGGCAGAGGGAGAGGGAGAAGCAGACTTCCCCGCTGAGCAGGGAGCCCAATGTGGGGCTCGATCCCAGGACCCTGGGATCATGACCCCAGCCGAAGGCAGACGCTTAACCAACTGAGCCACCCAGGTGCCCCGAGGCTTTCTAGTTATTAAGCTACATTTTGGAACAAATTAAATTGTGCATAAAGACACATTATGGGCAGAGCAACTACTGAGCAGGGTCACTGAAGGGTGTAGTGCAAGAAGACGCAGGAAAGATCCGATGGCAAGGTCTCCTGCAGGATGTGCCTGCAGGACATGTAAGACATTTATGGTGACTATTTTACTTATACTGCTTCGAGGACAATCACTTCTTGTTTGCTCCTGAATCCTTGGTTTTGTCTTAACTTTTATGTAATTTTATGTTATTGTAGGGAGACATGGAAACAAAAAAGGGTCAGCAACTCCCGGGAAGGGGGTCCAGGCCATAGAACATTCTTTCCTACAAATGAAGGGTTGGACAAATGGACAAACATTTGCCAAACACCTGACCTTTAAGAGTCGCCTTCCTTTGCCCTATGGGCCTGGAGAGCTTAATGGCCATTGAGATTCCTTCGCTGGGGGAAGAAATAAGCATCAACCTATTAGTTTTTAGGTAAGTGATGCAAACTTCACTGGCACTGAGAACAGTTCTGGATATAAAATGTACTTTGTTTTCCAGGGTATTACAACTCTCTGGCAGTCAGAAGATTTTACAACAGACCAGATATTTCTGTGTGCGTGTGAGTGTGTGTGTGTGATTTCTTTGTTAGGTTTCCAAAGCCCTGGTTGTAGTCCCAATTTTCCAGAAGATTGGTGTCAGGTCACAACCCCAGCGTGAACAGTTACCTCTAGAGAGCAGAGTTTTATCTGGCATGGAAAACTTGCTGGTTGGTTTTCTAGATACATGTTTATTTGCAGTCCAAAGACAAAATAGAAAACTCCAGAGTGGAAAATGCTACCTTTTAGTTCACACTCTTTTAATCCTTCCATCCCCATAAAATAAACTTTCTGAAGTGTAAGCAGTGGGAAATAATGTAAACTCTGCAGAAACGGAAAATAAATTAGTTTCTTTCAAACTCGGTGGAGGTCCTTTTTACTGGACACTGTCCTCGGTTGCACACAGAATTCAGTCTTGAACAAAGAAAAAATCTTTGGCCTATTTCTCCATTTCTCCCACGTTGCGTAAGAGGCATATTTCAAGTTCACTTTCTTCTCCAACGGCAGCAAAAAGGCAAGGAGTAGTCTGTTTCCCGAGCCTGGAAGACAAAAACATGTTTCCGGGGTTGAAGAACAGCTCTTTACCCTGTGGTGTTAAACTGTTAATAGGGCTCTAAAAAGCCGGAGACCGAAAGAAAATTCAACAGCAGATAAGTGATTCTCTTCACAAGACGAGGCCGAGGCTGGGATCCCTGTTTGGAGTCTTTTTACCTGAGAGCCGTGGAAAATCGGATGCTGCACCGCCCTGTGACCGAGTCCGCGTAAATACCGCAGGCAGCGATCGGAACCCCCTAGAAGATCAGGCAGAAACCCCAAAATTCTAAATTTGGGCTCTACAGTCTCTAAGATCCTGCTGAGTGAGAACGCTCAGGATTTTAGATTAGGGATCCTGTCGCCTCGGATTTCGGTTTCTCTTTTCTGGTCGGCACAGAAAGCGAGGTCTGAAAAATGCATTTAGGGCGTGAATGGAAGGGAGGAGATCTGGCCCTTCTTACTGATGTTAAAGCTTTGCTGTTTTCTCTCAAAGAATATTAAGACTCTCGGATGCTGCTGGAGCCTGCCATCTTTTCTGAAATAGAAGTGATCAAACTACATTTTAGAGAGAACAAACAAAGCAAACACCTCAGTTCCAGAAAATACGTGGCCACCACTGCAGAAGAAATGTAAAGGCAGGTATTGGGCCTTTAATCTGAATTTATACATGCAAGAATTTATCTGTGGGGCCAGGAGTTCACATTTGGCTGAAATATAGCGAGTAGGCCTCCCACAGATGAGGGAGGGGTCTGGAGCCAGAAAGGATGCTTGCTTAGCTTCAGAAGAGAAGACAGGGATGAAGACAGGGGACCAGGAACTTGGAATACCCCCCTAGCATCTGACTCAAGTCAGGGAAGTAAACAGAAAACAAGTACTGCAAGCATAATCATCATTAACAAAAAGGAAATATTTTTGAGGTGAGGAAGGGAGGTTTGCCTGGTGTAGCCCCCAACCCCCCCCCACCCAGAGAGGGGGCTGGCCTCATTCAGTCACTTTGGTGCTGCTCCTTTACCTGAGGTTCAGTGACTCCTGTGGAGGAAGGTGGGGGGGGTGGTGCTCCATGGACTGGAAATAACCCAAGAAGGGCAAGTCTGGAAAGACCTTCCAAACTTGAGATGCGTGGTGGAAGACCAGCTGATTAGCCACGTGACCTCAGTATCCAGTGGTTTTGTGTTTAAAGGGGCTTAGAGTAGGTGGTTCCATGTTTTAAGAAAAGGGAGAGTGTTGGCAGAAGTACAGAAAGTCTGAATATAGATTTTACGAATTGGAAAGGCAATAGCTACGGTGAGAATTTAAAACGGAATCAGCTATTCAGTGTTATCCTGTTATTCAGAAGACCAAAACCAGTTTCAGAATTTTATGAAGACAGAATATATGAAACATTCTATCTTGGTATGGGACTGATAAGTAATCAAAGAGTGCCCAGACAAGTTTCTTTTCTTCTTCTTTTTTTGGGGCGTGGGGGAGGAGCGAGCGAGAGAGAGAGAGAGACAGTGTGTGAGTGGAAGCAGGGACAGAGGGAGGGAGAATCTTTTTTTTTTTTTTTTTAAAGATTTTATTTATTTATTTGACAGAGAGAGACACAGTGAGAGAGGGAACACAAGCAGGGGGAGTGGGAGAGGGAGAAGCAGGCTTCCCGCAGAGCAGGAAGCCCGATGCGGGGCTCGATCCCAGGCCCCTGGGATCATGACCTGAGCCGAAGGCAGACCCTTAACGACTGAGCCACCCAGGCACCCAAGGGAGGGAGAATCTTAATCAGGCTCCATACCCAGGGCGAAGCCCAACTTGGGGCTCGATCTCAGGACCCTGAGATCATAACCTGAGCCGAAATCCAGTTGGATGCTAACTGACTGAGCCACTCAGGCGTCCCCAAAAAGAGTTAAGAACTTCCCACCTATTAAGCTTCCAAATATTCTATTTTAGCTAGACAGATGTCAATGAGATGGTAAAGACAGGATGGAGGACCTAGTCCCCAGCAGCTTTTATTTAAGTGGCTTGGGCTCCCAACTGTGTACTCCAAGGACGGCTCGGGATGATGCACTCACTGACCTTTCTCTTGGAGCATAATGGTGATCAACAGTTTTTGAGCGGTTCCTTGGAAAGATAGTTTCAACGAGCACTGAGTGTTATATGTAAGTGATGAATCACTGAATTCCAGAAACCAATATTGCATTGTATGTTCACTAACTAAAATTTGAATTAAAAAAAAAAAAAAGACCCAAAGCACAGAGCCCAGGTGCTCCCCTTGGGAGCCCCGAAACCTTGTGGTTTATAAACTGGGGATGACAAACCCTGCCCATAGAAGTGCTGGGCAGCAACCACACTCGAGATGAATTTATGATTATTAAATATCATCGAACATTTCTGCTCTAAAGGCAGTTGTTCAAGGAAGAGATGAGCTTCAAGAAAAAGCTTTTTTGGTAAATAACTAACATCTAGAGCAGGACTAGAGTCAGTCTGATGCTGTACTCAGCCTAACTGCACATGGGGACGAAGGGAGTATCTGAATTCTTCAGGAAATCCGCCAGACTTTATTGTGTCCACTTGAAACCTGCTGAGACTCAGAAGTATGATAAAGGTTCAGGATGAGATACCAAAAGGGGAGGGAAAAAATCAGAACCAAAGACTGAAGAGCTTATTCTAATTAGTTCTGTTTGATGCCGTCCAGAAGAATGAATCAGGCCCTTTTTCTGACAACAGTGAAAGCACCACAGGGGAGCCCTGGAAAGGAGCAAGAACTCTGGTGACTTCTTGGCATCTCCTGTTCATATTAAGTCTCATGCGATTTCCTAGAGGGTGAGGTGAGCAGGAAAGGAGAGAAACAGACATCAGCAAGTGCAGTCTCCCACGTGGTAGGCGTCGGCAGCAGGTACCACAAAGCCCACTGCAGCCGAGTGCATGGAACCATCTGGAGTCTGACTGCTATGGGACATTTCCTCTTCCGATGCCCAAATTTGTCTAAGTTGACTGTCATCCGAACGTTCACATTTTTATATTTTGTACTTTTAATAACCACAGACCTTTGGCTGGTCCCTGACTGCCGTATGCGTGAGGGCACAGGAAACAGAGAGACTGTTTGTGGGGTCATTATACTGAGGAGTCCGGGGGGGGCTGGGTGGCTCAGCCGGTTAATTTCTCAGGTCATGATCCTCGGGTCCTGGGATCGAGTCCCGCATCGGGCTCCTTGCTCAGCGGGGAGCCTGCTTCTCCCTCTGCTTGCCGCTCCCCCTGCTTGTGCTGTCTTGCTCTCTCTCTCATATAAATAAATAAAATCTTAAAAAACAGCAACAACAACAACAAAACAGCAAAAAATACATTGAGGAGTTCCCGAGAAGGAACGTTTGCTTTGTATAGTGGTTTTCTCCTGCAACACCGGATCCATTTCCAGTTGTGCATGCAAGGGTCAAGTGATGGGCTTTGAACGACTGCCCAGCAAGCCTAGAAACGGGATTGGGCAGTTCACGAAGCAGAAAGGAGCCTTGGATGAATGAGTGGGAAGGGAAAATGACATTCGATGAGAGAGTTCAGCGAGAGATAGGCCTATTATACCTGGACGAAAAAGAGCTTGGACAAAGTCATAGCTTTTAATACCCAAATAAGTATCTTTTGTTATACAAAAAAAAAATCACCCGGCGATCCCCAAATTATAGGTCTGCTCAAATAACTGGTTACCATCTTCTAGAACGGGCCAAAGTTCACTTACTCTGTGACTGAAATGCAAAGGGCATCCTTTGGCTTGGGCATCAAGGATGGGGTGAGAGACAGTGAGCAGGTCCTGGTGGAGCCTCGGCATTTGTGTTTATTAGCCGTGCGACTTGAGCACGCTGCTGGCCTTCCTGGGCCAGAGTTTTCGTGGCGCCGAAATAAAACTGCTCACCTCGCTGGGTTGACGCCAGCATGACGTGGGACAGGGATGGCAAAGCGACTCGTGCCAGCTACGGAAGGAGAGGCAGGGCCAAGCAAGGGAAAGAGCCCCCACAGGGTTCCTTTTTTGTGGCAAGAGGTGCCTTAGACAAATCTATACTCAGAGGGGACATGATTTGACTTTCACTGGACAGGAGCCCATCTAACTGTACATCCACGTCTAGGAGTGGCCCAAGCCACAGGCCCTTATCAGGTAGGAATTCACAGTCCACCAAGTCAGGAAATTACTTATCAGGCCATATTTTGCAGTACATATCAGAAAACCAAAACAAAATAAAACTAAAAAACATTTGGTGGGGCGGGGGCGGTGGGGGGGGGGGAGAAAAAAACAGTAGAAAGCACAGTAGCCTACCTGAATTGGGTCCTGTGGAAGTTGGGTTCATTTAGAATAAGCCTTTAACTTGCTCTGTTTCTGTATCAAGATCTATATCATAGAAGCAGGGCCGGGTCGGCAGTCCCGGCATGGTGCTCATCTAGAGGAGAAAACAGAACATGAGCTATTAGCAGATGCTGCCAAGCGATCACTCCAAACACGGTACATCTAATGACCAGAACTACCTATGTAATTCAATTCAGCCTCCCGTAACTTTAGGTCCTATATACCTGTAGCTCTCTAAATTCGCCATCTGCTATTTCAATCTTTGTTTAGGAAATGAAATAGAAAAGGCAGATGTCAGCTTCCTGAAAATGGAGACCACTTACCTCCCTCCACGGCCCCACAGCACATCATAGCTCTGAGACTGATTTTCAAACCCTTTCTTTCTAAATGACAGCTTTAAAAAAGTTGAGCCCCTTTGCTTGAAGGGGCCAGCGGGGGTGGGTGAAGTGGACAATAGCCTTTTCCTCACCCCCAAGACACGTTTTTGTAAAATCTACAGCTCTCGGAGGACAGTCTGGAACCAGCTGCTCTGCCCTGCCCTAAGAACAGTAACTGATGTTTGCTGACCGCTTACTACGCCCCAGATGCTGTGCCAAGTTTCCCTCTTTTGACCCTCCCGACAACCCCGTGAGGTAGGTGCTTTTATTATCTCCATGCTACGAGGAAGGACACGGAGGTTTACAGAGGTTAAGCCACTTGCCCAAGGTCACACAGGTAATAAGTAGCAAAATGGGAAATTGGACTCCGGGCCTATAACCTCAAATGACTCATTGAACCACCACCACGACCGCTGGGGCACTCTGGGGGTTATGGGTTTTACACGGATAACTTAATTAAGTCCCCCGCCACCCTGAGAGGTGGGTACTAATTTCAGCCCCACTTTCTGGATAGCACAGAGCGCATTCAGGCACAAAGGCATGTGCTCAAGGACATCCAGCAAGTCGGTGGGGGAGACCTGATTAAAACCAGGCCCCCACTCCTCACTGCTTTGCTGCAGTGTGTCCAGATCAGTTTATCAAAGTGCGTCTCTGCCCACTTGCACCAGAAACCCTTGGTATCCTGGGGAAAACTGCTGACTCCCCCGGTGACTCACACACTAAAACACGGTCTAGGACCTACATTGTGAGGCTCCTGGATGATCTACTCTTTATTATTTTAGTATTTCCTACTATGCTTTAATATTGCACTTTGCACAAAAAGGATGCTTGTAAAGCAATGGTGCATGCAGTCGTGTGGAAGAAAGACACCTGGGACTGTGCTTGGGTTCGCTCTTCTTCGAGGATTAAGTGCTGTGTCTTGCAAAACTCCTGCCTGTCCTGGCCGGAGAACACTCTAGTGAGATGAGGCTGTGAAACAGCTAGCACTTAGAGCTCCACGGTCTGCCCACTTCTTCCCACCTGGCAACAGAGCTCAGCTCTCTCACTTGCTTCGGCACTGACTTGGCATTTCCCCCTGTGCTGTGCGCCGCCCCCGCCCCCCCCCGCACCCGACCCGTCCACGATGCTCTTCTCCTACATGGGTCTGTGGACCAGGAGCATCGGTATCACTGGCAGCCTGTTTGAAATCTCAAATCTCAGAACCTGCCTCAGGCCTGCTGAATCAGAATCTGCAATTTTAGCAATTCCCACGTGATTCGTGTGCATGTGACTGCTTGAGACTCGCCGCTTGGACAACGTGGCCGAGGAGGCCTCCTTTCGCACTGGCAAGGGGGCTCGCCCGGTAGAGGCGGTGAGGAGGAAGGGGACCGGAAAGCCCGCTGCACCCCTGACAGCCGTAGGTGGGGGACATCCGTCCACCCGTTGGCCTCACTAACCACCTGCTCCCCGAGAGTGTGGTGAGGGGGCCACGGGTACGCTCTCCCACTGTGAGGCACGGCTAGGTCCTGTCTTGCTAATTGCACAGGACGGTACTTTAGGTATATTATGGGCTAAAAAGGCTTCTGAGGCCTGCTGGAATATAGCTACCATTTCTAACATGTCTTGGAGAAAACGTGCTCTGCGTTCCAAACAATTAACTGCAAATAAAGTTTCGGCACACAGCCTGCTTATGCGGGGGGGCGGGGGGTACGACTTCCTGTGTTTTCAGACTTCACTTATGTGGACGCCTACTTAGCCCTGTTAAGGCTCTGTTCCTAGCAGAGCAGTGACATTTTTCTCTGGTTACTACAGTGGCTGCACATAACCGAGGGACCCCAGGAAGAAGCCCACGCTTACTCTTCTGGCCCTGGGACCCCAAACACAAGGCCAGTGGTGGCACCTGCTGCCATTTTTTCGCCAGTTGCCTGTGTATAACCCACAGTGGTACTTTATAGCAGTTTCCCTGCCTGACTACATTCTGACGTGGGCATGTGGCGATGCCTTCATAATGTGTGTGTGCGGGGGGATGTGGATTTGGGAAAAGGAACCAGCATCTTGTAGTAGAAGAGATGTCTGATCACATTCAGCCACAGCCATGTTGCCCCATCCCTTGAATCAGCTTTGGGGGTCGAAGGCACATTTAGTTGGAAGAACGTTACCCAGACTTTGCTGCTTTGGGGGCCGCCACGCTATGGGCCCCAGAGCCGACTTCGGTGCCAGGCAGGCCTGCCTCCACACACGGTGAGAAGGCCGAGGAAGAACGCTGTGCATCTCGGCCCGTCCGACCAAAGCCACGGTGGCAGCTTCTACTATAGAGAACACCACTCCCCTGCCTGCTCGTTTATCTAGTTTACCGACGTGAAAATTCAACGCTTCATCATTAACTTTTTTAGCTGAGGCAGGACGGAGGCTGACAAAGGGAGAGTGTGGTTCGTGTCGATCCAGGAGCTGGTCTACTGGCTGCAGCAGAGCCGAGCATGCATCTTTTGGTCATTCCGATGCCTTCGGAGCAAAACTGGGAACTAAAAGGAGCCAAGATATTAAATGCTGGGAGGTGTGAAATGTGTTTCCTCTATTTTCAACCTATTTCTCTCAAATGGGGGAAAAGTAGTTCCGTCAGAAGACTCCCACGTTCCTCTCCAATTATGCAATCGTCACTTCCAAGAGTCAGGACCGGCAACAGCAGACGGGAAAGCACACAGAGTCTGAAGAGCCAAGGGACTCCCTGCCCCGTGGACAGAGAGCCATCCCCCAGTAAATCTCCTTTTAAAATAAAAGTTCTCCTGCTGAGCAGACACAATATGGAATTATGGTAGCAAGACCTAATACACTCACATCAAATTCTCTCCAATAAAAAACTCTGTTATCAAGGGATTGTGGCCCCAGACAAGAGTCAGAACTGCACTATGGGGAAGAAAGACTTTGGACAGCCCTTGGGAGTTGACCTCTGGCCCCACGCCTGGGGTCAGAGGTGATCTGTGTTGACTTTATTTGTATGTCCTCTAAGAAGGCCCCCTGCTTAAAATAACAGGGGAGCCACTAAATTGTACTTACTTGTCACGCTGCATTAATGGATTCTTTCACAAAGGCTGAAAAACATGGGCTTTTGCCCTTCATGACCCCCATTTTAACTACAATGAATCTTCCAAATCTTTACTGATTTCTGGTTAAGCTTATTTTGGAGAAACGATGAGTTCTATGATATAAACATATATTAAACCTAGTTCAAGAGAAAATATTCATATACTTCAAAGTAGTCATTGTAAGTAAAAGAATATTCTTAGCATGAGTAGAAAAATTACTAAAACTTCTGTTTCTTAAAGTGATGGAATCATAATTTCTACTTAGCCAACATATCGTTGTAGTTTTGTTGTATTTGTGTAATTTTTTGACTTCTCCTTCAATCTACTACTTTTCATACTGAATAAATCACCCAGTTTTATTTTGGTTCAGAAACAAGTATTTTTATGCACTACTTTATTCTTGCAGCTCATGATCCGAGGTGGACTCCCTCTGCACACTTCCTCCCTCCCTCCAAGAGATGATAGAGCACAGTTGATATATATCATCTTGGTTCTAAGAACTGAAAAAGACTGCAGTGGTTAACTACATTATGATATAACTTAAATAAAAAGATTCTTATGAAATAATAACTCAAAAATGTACATTCCTCATTAAGCGAAAGTATTTTCTGAGTTATAACTATAGTCCTGCTTCTCAACCTTTTGGCTAAGATCAAGCTTAAATACAGTGCCTAGCAATATTAGGCCTCAATAAATACTTTTTAAAATAGATGAGTAAAAATGGAGGATAATTAGGAAACTAGGATAATTAGTGAATTAGGAAACAAACAGAAAGAAACTTTCTTCTCGTCTGTCCTCTCCCGGCCGAAGCCCGGGGGACCAGAGCAAGACGCGGGGACCATGGTCGACACAAGCTGACGGCCCTCGACTACCACAACCCAGCTGGTTTCAACTGCAAAGATGAAACAGAATTTAGAAACTTTATTGTTTGGCTTGAGGACCAGAAAATCAGACACTACAAGACTGAAGACAGAGGTAATTTAAGAAACATCCACAGCAGTGACTGATCCAAGTTCTTTGAAAAGTATCTCAAAGACGTTAACTGTCCTTTCAAGATTCAAGATTGACAAGAAGCAATTGACTGGCTTCTTGGTTTAGCTGTTAGACTTGAACATGGAGATAATGCTGAAAAATACAAGGACTTGGTACCTGGTAATACAAAAAATGCTGACAATGCAGCTAAAAATGCAGAGCCATTGATCAACTTGGATGTAAATAATCCCGATTTTAAGGCTGGTGTAATGGCTTTGGCCAACCTTCTTCAGATTCAGCGTCATGATGATTACCTGGTAAGGCTTAAGGCAATTCGCATTTTGGTCCAGGAGCGCCTGAGCCAGGATGCAGTTGCTAAAGCAAATCAAACGAAAGAGGGCTTGCCTGTTGCTTTAGACAAACATATTCTTGGTTTTGACACGGGAGATGCAGTTCTTAATGAAGCTGCTCAAATTCTGCGATTGCTGCACATAGAAGAGCTCAGAGAGCCACGGACAAAAATTCATGAAGCCATAGTAGCTGTTCAGGCACTTATTGCTGATCCAAAGACAGACCACAGACTGGGGAAAGTTGGAAGATGAACATTTTAGGATTTCAGCTTCTCATCTACTTAATACAATTGGGAACCATGTACGCTCTGGCATGTGTTTGGAAATCAAATGTCACATTTTCAAGGGAAGAATCCTAGAAAATTGACTATGTTCTCGAGATTTACCATCACTGCTTTTTCTTTAATAAAGTTCAGGAAAGTGGAAGAAAAAAAAAGAAACTTTCTTGAGGATGGGGCTTTTTCTTTGTTTCTTCCCTTCTTCTCTGAATACAAAATAAGCTACTCTAAGATGATGTATAAGGAAAAATGGCCAAGTATAGATGTCCAATGACTGAAAGAGAAGGATATGAAAAATCATTCTAATAAAAACAGATATTGCTGCTACCACTGGAATTTCCATTTGCCTGACTTAGCAGAGAGGGATGTTCTGGGATTTCTACCTGGGCAGTTAGGTAACATTCACCTGCACAGCTTGTGACCACATTCCAAAGGCGATCTCTGGTTACTGGCTAGCGATACTCTTGAGAGCATGGGGGTGTGTCCTGTTGGAGTGCCCTTATCTTTCCTGGTGGCTGATGAGATCCTGTTCCTGTGTGAAGGGACGCGGTGATGTTTCATTCAACTCAGCAACCTTTGCTGAGGGCTCACTATGGGGACACGAAGGTGACCAGGACCTGGTCCCCACTTCCAGATGGACAGACCAATAAAGCAGTCCACTGGGCTATTTGGACCAAGTCACCTTACTTTTTTAGTTAAAAAAATTTTTTTTTCATTCTATGATTTTTATATAACAAGAATTTATGTAATAAATACTTTTTTTTTTTAAAGATTTTATTTATTTATTTGAGAGAGAGAGGACACATGAGGGGGGCGAGGGTCAGAGGGAGAAGCAGACTCCCTGCTGAGCAGGGAGCCCGATGCGGGACTCGATCCTGGGACTCCAGGATCATGACCTGAGCCGAAGGCAGTCGCTTAACCAACTGAGCCACCCAGGCGCCCTGTAATAAATTCTTAACTTACGACTTTCTAAGACTAAGTCATGTTCGATTATTATAAACATTACCATATTGTGCTCACATATCCTGTCAGTATTACACAGCTGAGATTATTCTGATTTATGTCAATGGCCTTGAATGAAAGAACGAGCAAGCACAGTTATTCTTCTCATCTTCTGTGAGGGATGATTATCATTTTCTTTTAGTGGTAGGAAGCTAGTCCCTAACTAACTTTTCTTTCCATTTATAAAAATCTACTTAAAAAAATATTTTAAACATAAAAGCAAAAAACAGTAGAAGTAAAAGGCAGAGTCCTCCTGTCCTTATACGCTTCCCAGATGGAAGCCCTGTAAACAATTTCTTGTGTCAACTCCTGGGGAAGTTTCTCTTCCTATTCAAGCCATGTGTCTCTATAACGTATACTTCTATCATTTTGTACAGAAATCGGATAATTCCACGTGGACAATTCTGAAATCTGATTTTCAGGGAGATTAACATTGGAAAGAGGTAACTGGTAAAACTCCCCTTAAACAAGGGAATGCTCGCCGGCGTGTGTGAGTCAAGAGTTGTCACTAACACATTCAATGCGTGAGGTCCACGGGCCTGCCTTTTGGAAAAGGAGAGATGGCAGGAGTCCTTTTAGAGAGAAACAAAGATAAATGTGATGCAGGGTCTGACTGACCAGACGTACACAAAGGAAATGAAGAAATTCTGCAACTTTTTTGCAGTGCCTCAAGCATCAGCTAAAAAATTCCCATGTTTTATAAAGGACTAACAGTTTGGAGTTGAAAGACTTTGAGAAGTCTCCCTCCACTCCAGAATTTTTTCCTTTATTTGTTCTGATTGTAGGGATAGTACTCCTTAGTCCGCTTTTATCTGTGGTTTTCGGGAATGCCCTCACGTTGGCTTGCTCAGTAAGACAACGTCCTTCCAGTCCCCGTGCCTGGAAGCTCAGGGGCGGCACACTGAGGGCTTGGCTTGGCTGGGTCCTGCAGCCCTCAGGTTTCTCTCTGCTGTCCTCTGGGTGTTGGCCTCATCCTCAGGCTTCCTGCTATGTGGGCAGCTCTAGGCCAAAGACTCATACCCCAAGACATCCAAGCAAGTAAGAATGTCTTCTTCTTCTTTTTTTTTCTGGATTTCTTTCTTTCATTTATCAATTTCAAACTAATAACTTGGTGCCCTGGCAACTCCAATGGTAACACCTCTAGTGCCATATACATACCAGCACTTAACATGCACTGTATCCCAGTACTTCCTACAACCCTCCAAGGCCAGTGTTATCCTGCTGCTATTATCCCCACTTTGCACATAAGGAAAACAAGACATGGAAACGCATAATCATGTGCCTCAGATCACACAGCCCAGACCTGATGGAGCTGGAATTCAAATGCAGTGTGACTCCCGAGAGCCGGCCCTACCCATGCCCACGGAGCACTACGCCCCCGCTGTCATGGCATTGAGTTCACTGCCCCTGGGTGGCAGGAAGTGTGCCAGAGCCCCGGAGGGGCAGGAGGGTGTCCCCACGGCTGGATATCACCCCGTCTTATCAAGCTACTGACTTCTCAGCTACGGCATTCAGGTAAATAAATTTACATGGATTTGTAAAGTAAACTCAGCTACTTTACAACTTTAGCCTGGATTCCTTCTAAACTATAACATTTATTTAAGGACATGTTACATGGCTTGTGCTTGGGGTCGTATCTTTCCAAATTACATCTTAAAAATCTAGTCAGAGCAGTTAGCAGTGAGTAAATACCTTATGACTGTTAAAAAAAAAAATCTCCAAAATGATACACATACAACAACACCAAGAGTTTTTTTCTTAAAAATAACAGGCTTGCTACTCTTTAAAGATCCTCTGTGAGACATGGATTATTTACTCCCCTCTGAAATGTGTAAAT